TTCTGAAGGCCCAGCTCCTTGAAGACTTGCTCCAGAAAGGAAATGCGGCCTTTTGCGGTCGCGATGGAGGTTGAACGTGGGGAGCTCCCATAACCTATTCAGAAACAAACAAAAATTGGAACAACTAAAATAATTTTAAGGAAACAATGAGAATCATTAAAACAATTCTAAGTAATAGCTTTGGTCATTGATATCAAGCCTAGAAATCAAGACATGTATTGTTGTAATTCATATCATTCTGATCTTTATAGAGGAACTACCTTTTTTTAACCTCCCTCCAGATATGCTGAAATTACAGCTCCTAGAATTTCTCAGGCCACAAATCTGGAGGGTACAGGAAGGCTGTGAAGCAACGTACCATTGTCCTCCAACTTTCAACGGTAAATTTGGCTCTTAAGAGAAGTTGTGGCAAATTTATGTCCTTCCAAAGTAGCATTATTTATTTAAAGCATGTTTAAACTACACAACTCACATCTGTGAGACTGAAATATGCTATAAAATACATCACTGAGTTTGTACAGAGGTCAAAGTATTCTCAAAGAGAAAAACAACATGGCTATGCAGTTACCCCAGCAATCTCTATAGCTTTCTTACTTTTTACTTCTGGCTTTCTTTTGATGAGTTAAGCAATTTCCCTCACCCTATAGCACCAGCCACTAAAAATCCTTCTAAAATATAAATCATTGATAATGTAAAATGAACTTTTATAAACTAGCCCTGCTACTTCTCCAAAGTGATAATTATAACTCTGTCCTTTGGAACATCTTGCCTCCAGGAGTGAGATCCTCTCCAATCTTCTGGCCTTCTGGAATGGCCTTAAATCCTGGCCCTGCTGGTTTGCTTGGCACCCTGATGGGGATGCTCTATGCTGGAGGTGGTTGATTGAATGAGAGATAAAGGCCTACCTCATGCTTTTGGTTTTAACCTTCTATTTAACTGCTGTTAATTTTAATTTTAAACTATTAATGTTTTCATATTTATGCTTTTCATTAGACTTAAGGCTACCCAACTCCAGAGAGACTCTGAGGCTTACTTTATAAAGAATAAAAAACAAAGATACTATACACAGCCAGACACAAATTCCAAGCACAAAATGTACTCAATAGGGATTCAACAGCCACCTTACTCCCAAAGCTTAGAAGAGCCAGGTTTTTAGGGACTTTTAGAATGGGTGCTAAAAAGACTCAGGTGGGGAGGGGGATGCTAAACAAATACAAGCCAAACATTTTCCTCCAGCAAAGACAATAAAATACAATAGTATTTGAAAGGGGGAATACATCTGCCAAATATATTTGGCAATGAAATCTTCAATATGCTGCTGATCACAACCTTTACAGGGTATGCCGTTCAAACAAACTGGGCTCTCCCTTCTACTTAACAGATTCCAAGAACTTTTCCCCCTTATTAAATAATAAACTACATTCTCTCTGTTATGAAAATAGATCAGAGGCATTAGAAGGGCCTCTACAACTGTTGGCATTCACTCCAGGGAGGGAGGGAGGGAGGGAAAGAGGGGAGGGGATTACTGCCAATGGAACATGCAGATGGGAGTAATTTACTAAATAATGCTCATCCCTCTACTTTGGTTCGCTGCCTTCATCCAAAGTGTGTTGCCAAAGCAAAACCCCCAGAAATGTATATTACTGAATATCAGCCCGTAAGAGAAAATGAAGCCAGAACTGAAAAGCCAAAATGGGCTAAAAATAATAATAATTAATTCACTGTTTATTCTTACCAGGCAAATCAATAGCTACTGCACGATAGCCATTCTCTGCAAGCAAAGCCAGTGTTCCTAGAGTCTCCCATGTCTTGGATGAGAAGGACTGGCCATGCAAGAAGACCACTGCCAGCCTGTTAAGAAAAAGAACTAGCAGCTAATGTCATCTTTTTTACTATTCTGATATGAGCAATGTATTAAAAAAATACTTAAGTTCCAAAATATTTTATTTTTATAGTAAAACAAAATCCCTAAACTAATCTCAAAAAAGGAAAAGAAAAAAAGTGGCCCCTTTGAACAGAAAAATTAAGAGAATTGGGGAATTTTTTTTAGCACCACAATAATACTTGCCTGAAATGGTTCCACCACAAAACCGTGATGCCCTTATCCGCGCCGACATAAGTGCGGAGGCAAATCCACGGCGTCCGAAGCGCTAAGAAAAAAACGACCCTACCGCCGCGACAACAGCGCGGCAACAGAAGGGCATTCTACATGCTTCGTTCTTTGCCTCCAAAGGTAGCCCTCCTCCTCCAGCTGACAGCGGCAACAGGCACGGGGCAAAGCGGGCTGCCCAGCAGCAGCAGCCCGCGGGAAGGGTCCAGCTCAGCCGTGGGGAGCAGCAGGAAGTCTGCGGGGGGGCCGAGCGGGGCCGCCGATGCCGCCCGCCCTGCCTCTTCCTTCCTCGCCCCGCTTGCAAGCCCTTAGGTTTAGGGTTAGGTTTAGGGTTAGGTTTAGGGTTAGG